CAGCCCATGTGGCTTCAGGTGAAGCACTGGGCACAGGACCTGTAGTCTCGGTGAGCTGTTCCTCAGGGATGAAGATGCCTGCTCTGTTGATGCAAGCTAGCTGTAGCTCTTGGGCTGCTGGAAAGCTGACCGGTCTGCCCCTCAGTTGGCCAGCACTTGGATACTTCTGGACTAAAATCCCCAGCATCTCTGGGAGTTCTTCTGCCCCAAAGAGTTCCAGTCTCTGTTCTTATGATGGGTATGCAGGTGAAGAAGAATTTCTTAATAAATAGTCACGGAGAGAAAAGTCGCTGAAAGTTTGGAGTGGTTTGCTTACCCTGTTCCCTTTTGTTCCATGTGTTTTTATTTCTGTTCAAGTCAGACCGGGTCACATGAAGGCCAGGGTCAATGGAGCATTCTGCACAAGAGAGAACTCTCTCACCTAGCAGAATTAATTAGCTAACCCTCTAGCTGTGTGATTCAAATCCTTTCAGATTCATTTTCCCAGCAGCAAGACCGAGCTCTTCTAATTAGAAGGCATTTAGTTCTGCTAATTATTTGGGAGTTATAATAAAGTGGGGCTCCTTTGACAAAATGATTATGTGCTGAGGGTGGAGAGTAGCAATTTGTGCTGGAGGTGGTTGATTCCAGCACATGAATAGGTCTCATAATTGGCCAAGAATATCCTGCCTCTTCAGCCTTTTATGTACCAAAAGCAAAGCGCTTTGGGCTGATTATCTATGTGGACTGTTCCCACTTTTGAAATGGAAATTATTAATGTCTTGATGGGTAGGGTTGCCAGATAACTTCACAAAAAATCCTGAACATGATGGGGGGAAAAAAAGTCTTTAAATTCCTGCTCCCCCCACCAGATGCGGCAGGGGAAAAATGTCCCTGCCGGCCTTCCGTCCAAGAAAAACTTTCTGGTTTTTTTTTTACTGGACAGAAGATGCAATTACCAGACTGTCCTGGCAGTCTTATCGTTGGGGAAGATGAGGCCTTGTGAACATTGTCAGTGATGGACGCGATCCCACCACCACCTAGCTGTTCCTCAGAGCAGGCTTTTCCAGTGTCACACTTTTTTTTTTTCTTCATGACCTCCCTTCTGTGCATTTCTGATGCTGCTCTTCTTGCCTCACAGTTCTTCTCTGCCCACCATCCACAGTACCCTCTAACCCTAACTGGCGCATCTGCCCATCCTTGCATAGCTAGAATCACCTTTATGTCAGTTCCAGGTCACGCAGTGATCTCTGAAACAGCAAAACCGCCATATGTTCACATTCCAGGCAGCCCATGCTCTCTGCTTTCCACACGGCAGACGCTCTGAAGTGATGAGATTGGGGACTCCAGCAAGACTCAGCTCAGTTAACAGATGTGTAAGGATGGTGGTATCGCCACTACCCAACCTGACTTTGGCGCAGGGACAGATTATGTGGTGCTGGAAACCCCGGGCATGAAGCTTTTGACTTTATGGGTCTCTGAATGTGAATTTACTTCACCACAGTATTGAGCAAACTGTGTCCCTTTTGACTTAGACTGTAATTGGCTTATTTTCCTCTATCTGAGGAGAACAGTGTGAGTAGTGGTGGCTCTCTTTTTAAATAATTTTCCTGTGCTACTGGAGACCCCGAGGCTTGCTGTCTGTGAAGGAATGGAAGCTGGTGGTCTTTTCAACACTTACCATGGAGGAAATCACCTGCTTATGAACTACTGATCTGGATGAACTCCTCTCTCCTGGGAACTTCTGGGCTGCATATAGACTGGCATGATTTTGCGGAAATACTTTTAATGGAAAAGTTTTTCCGTTAAAAGTATTTCCACAAAAGCGTGTCTAGATTGGCACAGATGCTTTTGCGCAAAAAGTGCTTTTGTGCAAAAGCATCCGTGGCCAGTCTAGATGTGATTTTGCGCAAGAAAGCCCCGATCGCCATTTTAGCCATCGGGGCTTTTTTGTGCAAAACAGTTCTTTCCTGTCTACACTGGCCCTCTTGCGCAAGTATTCTTGCACAAGAGGGCTTTTTCCCAAGCGGGAGTGTGAAAGTATTTGCACAAGAAGCACTGATTTTGCACATTACAAAGTCAGTGCTCTTGTGCAAATTCAAGTGGCCAGTGTAGACAGGTGGCAAGTTTTTGCCAGTCTAGACACACCCCTGCAGTATAGCCTGTTACCATCCATACTTGTCACCCACCAAGGTATAGCCACATAACCGGTCTCCTTAGCCATTTGTGAAACTACATAGTCAAACGATGGCTTTGGTGCGTGCCAACCCTGCAGCCTCAGTCCAGAATGTGAAAATCAAGCTGATCATTTTCTGTATAGATTCTGCAGTTAATGATACATGAGCTGGAACAGAGTCCAACTCAGTCTTCAGATGTTGTCAGACTACAGAGCTACAAGAATACTAAGTATAAAGGCTTATTATCTTAAACTGGGAGGAAGGAGTAACGAACACAATTGTAACAATACATACAAACGAATGGGCTCCCAGGCTACGTCTAGATTGCAGCGCTTTTCTTGGATCCCGGAGGATCTCAGAAAAGCAGTGCCTCATCCAAGGAATGCGTCCGCTTTCCCAAACATATTTTCAGAAAAGCAGACGTGCTCTTTCGCCATCCCTGTAAATCTTGTTTTACGAGGAAGAAGGGATGTGTCGAAAGAGGACTTTTTTCCAAAATTTGGTGCTGTGTAGACACGCCACATTTTGGAAAAGCCACTTTCAAATGAACATCGGAAAAAGATACGCAATTTGCATACTGCAAATTGCATATCTTTTTCTGATTTAACTCTGCAGTCTAGATGTAGCCCCACACAGCTCAACTTCCAGTTTAGTTTCCATTGTTTACCAGGGACCCCTCAGCTTATCTGGAAATCTATATAGTGCATAGGGACATCTGAATAATATACTGTACAGAAATATGTCCTAATGGTTGCCACTGAAATTAAGAGACCGGATTTCTGAATGTATTCAGGAGACAGATCTCTTATATAAAAATGGCATCTTTTTACTCCGTCACTTTTCAAAGCAGAGCCACATTTTAACTTTCCAAATTGCAGTAATGAACAAAAAGTCAACAGAGCGCAGTACATAACTGCCCAGTCCTTTTGTACTCATGTCAGTTACTTCTTGCTTACGTACATGACATTCTTTGTCCTTCCAGCGTATCAAGAATGCAAATAAAAATTCACTCAGCTATTGTTCTTGAACCTGTACAATGGTTTTAATTTCTTGAAAATTAAATACATTCTTTGGCTCATGGTGCTAAATCTGTCTCAATCCCCCTGTACTGCTCACCCCTGCTCGTAACATATTGGAGATTGTTTTCTTTGGCAGCTGAAATTTGCGTGTACCGTGTATGTCTTTTTCTTCCTACAAAATGATATTTTTTTAATTCAAATTCTATTTGGCAGCTTTTGAGTTCTCAGAACATGTAGGCTTTGGGGATAAGCAGGACAAAAGTTTGGTTTATTTATTTCATTTCCAACCTCAGGTCCCACACTAAAAATTTTCTGATTTTTCTTTATGCTTTAATAAAATGTGGGAGGGGAGTTGAAAGTCTACCCCACATTTTTAAAAAAAGTCAAAAATCAAAGTTAAAAGGGGAGGGGAGGGGAACCAAGCTGAGGAGAGTGGGGAGGTGTGGGCCTTATGGTTTCTTCTCCCTATTCCAAGTAGTGAAAATTCTCCATGATTCCCCACTAAAATGGTCCTTTGTGCGTCAGCCTCCTGTTCTGCATTTTCAGCTCTGATCACCCTAGTGATGCAGATTTGACAGCTGTGGGGGAGCCATCCCTAAACATTGGGAGAAGCTGTGAGCAGAAATCTGAAAGATCAGATAATGGGGGGTAGGGGAGCGTTGCTTTTCCAAAATTTAATTTTCTTTCTGTTTCCCTTGTGCCCCATCATGGAAACCTTCATCCCAAAGGATTTTTTCTTCCCCCCACTTTGCATCCCCCTCCCCACAGCTCATCTACAAAGGAAAGTGTGGGAGAGGCTGCTTTCTGAGCAGCTTTTAATTCTGCTGCAGGGTCATCATTGGGCAGCCATAGCTTACTACTTTCCCCTTGTCCTGCCTGAATAATTCACCCAGCCTGTGGAGTGAATGTCTAGTGCTGGGCACTGAATCCCTGGCCCCTGTAAGGAATGGTTATTTTCCCCATTATGCATGTCAGAAATTAAGGCACAGAGACTCAAGTGACTTGCCCATGGCAGAACCAGAAAGTACACCCAGCTCTGTGCCTTAAACAATATGCTTCCATTAGCTAGTTCTTAAGGATTGCTGGGTTTGTTTAAATAAGGGATTTGCTCCTTCCTGTATCATTTGCTCTTCATTT